CAATAATGATACTCATTTTTAACATTTAGTGCCAAATATAATTAGTCCATTTTTAAAAATCAAATTCATTTTCAAAGAACAAAAAGCTGGCAAGTAAATCTGAAATAATTGTGAAGGAATATGATTCACACTCTAAAAGCAACTTTAAATCCGAACATCTAAATTGATGGGTCTTATTTGAGACAATAAGAATAATGTTGGAAACAGTATAATGAATATTACTTGAAGTATAGTTGGATTAAAATTCAACAGAATTGGATGTTTCTACCCTTATGTGTGTATGTCTAGCTATTGCTCAACTTACCACAATGGTTGGCCTAACCTAATGAATGATATGCTGAGAATTTAGTCATATTCTTGATTATTTTCAACTAAATAAATTTCATTTCACTAAAATTAATTGTTTTTGGTAATCTAATTTTTTAGTTTGCTGTCATTCTTCCATCTTACTTCATGTATAAAAATGTATCCTTACAATCAAGACTAGGGCTAATTAAAAATATTTATACATACCCACAGAAAGTATCATCTTATTTAGCACCACATATTTTTAAATTTGTAAATTTAAAATTTAAAAGAGTTAAAAAAATAATGTGTAAAAACTGGCTTTGAGTAACAAAAGTTTGCTTTATCCAGTATAGCAGAGAGCTCGGACCCTGTTCACAATTTCTGTCTTCCCGGCAGCCACCCTCGTCCTCACAGTCCTTTCCAGCTGCTGTTATATGTGAGCTCACAGTCAGCATAACTGTAATTTTGGTGTACTGGTAACTGCTCTTTAACAAATCATTTTTCTTAAATTTTATAATTCCCATATTTGCTCTGTGAAAGGCAATTTGTCATAAGCATCAAAACATCAAAATTCTGCTAAACCTTTACAATTGTATCCTTGATAATTCCTTTTAGCATGGTTTAGCTTTACAAACTCAAGCCATTTAAATATGTGAAAACATTATTGTGATTCATGCCTCAGTATCATTCACAAAAGTATTGTCTTTCATATTTTAAGTCTATATATTTAATCATATTTGGTTTTATATAATAGTTTTGACTTTAGCTTTATTGATTTCCCTTTTACCTGATATATATTAGTATTTCACACTTTAAATAAATTTAATATTTCCCATTTAAACCATCTCAACAAATGATAGTGTTATCTTGAGAGAGAAGTGTAGCTATAAATATCTCCCAGTTCATTTTGTATCTTTAAAAACTGGTCAGTCAAACCATTCTCCACATCATATGGTATGATAGGAAAAGGATGTGAAACATGCCTGCACTTATGCTTCTATCAAAATTTGTGTCTAATGAACATCAAAGAAGGAAAGGAGAGAAGTGTTATCAAAAAATTACAGTGATCATTTTTTCTCTTAAATAAGAAGCATAGTGAGATTAACTGTGGTCGATTAGTCTTAAAGTTAAATATATGCAATATTATGCCCAGTGGACTATTAAAACCAAAGTAAACTCTATTTCCTCCAAACATTAGGAAATGAATCTAACATTTTTAAGTATTTATTTCACCAACTTCCATATATACTTTTGAATCTATACTGTCCCTGGTATAGTAATTGTTGATATAACTGTATTTTAACATGCTGGGATGAAGTTACTCTTTCTACCTTCTCAAAAAATGCTGGTAAATTAGAGCTTCTCAACTTATCTTTTATATACCATCAGGGTACTTGAAATTCCATGTGACAGATGTTCTAAATTCTTACATCCTTTATCTGTGTCCATTTTCTCTGGGTACTCCTTATCACAGTCTAAGCTACAACAGATTTGTCTCCTCATCTTTCACTCATTGCTACTTAAGTTCAATCAAATAGAATCTTAGGGTTTTTGTTTGTTTTTTCAAGACAGGGTTTCTCTGTGTAGCTTTGCGCCTTTCTTGGATCTCACTCTGTAGACCAGGCTGGCCTCGAACTCACAGAGATCTGCCTGCCTCTGCTTCCCGAGTGCTGGGATTAAAGGCGTGTGCCAGCACTGCCCAGCCAAATAGAATCTTAATACAGAAATTTAATTCTGGAAATATTTGTTTGTAGTTTCCATTTTAAAAACTTTAACTTCCACATTTAGTAGCCAGGGTTGCCTAAAAAAATTGTATTTCCTTCTACTAGTTGTATAATTAGCAACAAGAAGTACTTAAAGAAGGTTTTCAATGCATAAACATGTGAGAATGTTTTAGGCTCTACACAAAATATTGGATCAGTTCATGAAGACGTTTCCTTTGTGGTTGGATTGGAAAGAGTAGAGAATTGATACCACCAGAAAGGATGCGTGCAATTGTTTGTGCTCCCACATATTGTGTGAAAGAATCATGCTTCCACGAGTGGAGAGATACAGCTTCTTAAACTTGCTTTTTTAAGAATTCTGAGTAAGCTTCTAAGAAAACTAAATCAAAAGGCTAAATAAATCAACTCTTGATTATGCAAACTAATTCATAGGGTTCCCTATTATTTACAGATAAAGCCCAGTAGAGACCTAGATTTAGCGCCCTCCTTCCCTTGATTAGCTCAGAATGTGGCCATAGTTCGACACAGACCTCCTTAAGATGTGTATACAGAGGTCAACACAATTGGCTTTGACGAAGACTTGTGCGTGTGAGTGAGATGGGGAAGGTGTGGACCCCCGATTCTCAGGCTCTTACATTCATGCTGAGCACTATGGAAGGTCAACTCCGGGATTTGGCTCTCCTTTTCTTCTAGCCGCACTCGCTAGGACAATCCATGGAGGAGCTAGAGTTACTGAGTTAGATACAGTTTTGTGAAGAAAAATACTAACCCAGCCCACATGATCCAAAATTGATTACACTTTTGTCTCTATGTACTTATCAAGGACCTATTTCTAGTGCCACAGCTTGATTAAACAAGAGGTGACAATATTCACGTTAATATATGTATATATAAGAGCAATAATATGATTCTTAGCAGCACATTTTCCTTTTATTGTGTGGGTTCATTCAAATAATGAGACTACATTGACCCAGGAGAATGTATAGGAAATGAGATTCAATAATGAATGCCAATAGATGGGCTGTATACACTTGCAAGTTTCTGAGCAATGATAGGATTTTTCACACTACTGGCACATTTTATTGCATACTCCCGGAGAACGTCTGAATACTTCATTAAAATATATAATGAGTGAAGGAGACAGACTGTCCAAGGTTTGTTCTCAGTGTGAAAGCATTTTTAATAGTATAAATCAGAATCATCTCTATATCAGATGTTTTTTCACTACTATGTCAAATTAAAAGCACTGGTCGAGAATGGTATTATTGAAATTGGCTATTAGGAGTGGTGACTGTGAAATCAAAGAGCAATTGTTTCCTGATAATATTCAGATCCCTCGAGTTTCTAATTATCTCCTTTAAAGGTTTTACTCAGGGATTTCTAATTGAATTCATGACCTTGAACCAGATTCACATCCTGAAGCTCTCTAGGTTTACTAATAAATCCTGTATTTTATTCTTATATTTATTTTTCCTTCATAGTCTTTCCTTGGTACTCTAAAGAAAGATGTTTTAAATAGTTAATTAGCAAATGCAAAATTCTCCCCCATTATCATCATATTTAATTAAGATTTTCTTATTTATGCTGCCGTCTTAGCAAGGACTACAAGTATTCCTGGATGTCAGCTTCTTATCTATTACCTTCAGCTTTTAAACATAACAAAGTGCCTGGACTCTTTATTTAGTGTTTCAGGTCTCCTTTCTTTCAGGACACAAAAGATAAATTCACCCAGATGCACTGACAGCATCAAGGCTTCGAAAATGCATCCATCCATTACCGTATAAGCAGTTCAGTCACTTTAATCCATCTTTTGCCCATCACTCAAATGTCAAACTCACATGTTTGAGAGTGTACTTTTCTGAACATGCAGTTTCAAAGCAAGAGCCCTGTGTCTACTCACTTACATACACGCAATGAATAAGAATTATTTTGATCAACAAGATAACAACTATCAAGTGTTCTTACTTAGTAATGGATGGTAAATATACTATGGCATTATTCTGATGACCATTCAGTACTGACTGGTGATGACAAGTTCCATCCATCCCCAGTGATTGAAAACCCCTCATGGTTTCTGGTCTACCTTCGCATCATTGTGTGTTTTTATATTTTAATATAAGCTTCCATTTGTATCCCTTTCAAAATGCTGGTAATTCAATTGTATATATCATTTTTGTCCTACTTGTTTAATTTATTCTAATAAAAGTTTTCTTGTAATGTTAAGGCACCAGAGCTCATAGTTTTGAGTTTATTAATGGATATAACTAAACAAAAAGAAACATACACACCAAGAGATCAGAATTTCTAGAGTATGAATAGTTTTTGGCAGTCAAAATATCTCACTTGAAGAAAGTGGATTTTGATCTATACAGGGTCTAGGGCTTGAGTAGGAATTCCTTTGTCCTAACATTAATAAGAGAATGTTAAAAAAAAGAAGGAACAGGGACTCAGAGGTTGTTTTGCAAATTTTAACAGTTTTCCAAGTTTTCTCTTTTAAAGGAATTGTGAGAGACTGCATCGAGAAGTCTAAGTTGATGTATAACATCATCACTTCCCAGAGAGTAATAGAACACACTAAATTTGTGTTTCATAGCATTGTTTTTATACTTGGGGACTCCCTGTTGCAAAATCAACCACAGATTCTGTTAATAATGGTTTCTGCCAAGGAATTTGTAGTCTCCTGTCTCTTCTGTTATGGTTCAAGAATTATTGAAGGTCTGCTCTAGAATCACTATTATCAATAGTAATGTGAGCAGTATAACTAAGATATATTTTATAGCTTAAAAACCATAAATTTCTTTATTATATGACACAAACCACCTTTATAAGCTTTTACAATTGTAGTTCCATATTTCAAATCTGATTTCAATGTCAATTGTCAAAAAATGTCTATGTGACAGAATTTTTCTTTTAAATAAATAATAAATATATAGCTGAACATGTCTCTGTTTATCATAGAAAGAAAAGAATATTGGCCATGGTACTCACATGGCACTGTGCGGAGGTAGAGGTTGTCACGGATGATTTGCTGAAGTTCGTGGTCAACAGAACCCTTCTGAAATCTTAAGTTGAGGTAGTGACGAAGATCCTTATCAACAATTCCTCCTAAAATAATAAAGTTTCTTTGTAAGAGATTTAGAAAATATAATAATGATACAACTTGATTCTATTATAAATACATTCATAACATATAAAGGATGAATAATTTCAAGTTATTCTTTTGATGTCTAAGGCATTTATTACTAATATAACAATCTGTTTTCCATGTCTATACTTAGTAATTTGTAAGTTCTTTATTTTTCATTTAAAGTATAGTTTTAATATTGGTAGTGTATTACTTACTACTGAACTATATATAATTGGATTATCCATAATGTATCTCATTGCAGGGCTAAAAGGCTAATCACCATTTTAAATCTATTTCTATGAACTTCATTGCTACAGGCATCACCTGTAAGAGGAATCATATAATATTTATCCTTTGTTACTGGCTTATTTACTCAGCAAATGTTTCTGAGTTTGAAAAGACTTTTAAGTTATTTAAGGTTACTATGGAAATAAAATGATATAAAAGGTTAAAAGAAAAATGGCTACATAAATATTGATGACTTTCTCCCTTCCATGAAATAAATCAAAGTGATTACTATGTTATGCAATATATGTGTTGAAGTTTTATCTAGAAGTAAAGTTTGAATGGCTTTTCTTCTTTTGCCAACAAATAATTTAATTATGTTTGCTATTATAATCTTAAGAAGAATGGGGATATGCCTTTGAAAAGCCACTGATGCAGCTCTATTGAATATTAAGTTTAAATTAACGATACATTTATTATATTTATAATATATTAATTATATTATAATTAATTATATTAGAGTAAATTATTTATATTAGAATAAATTAAAAAACAAAATACTTGGGGGCCCCAAAAAGAGTAAAAACCTCCAACAGTAAACTTTCTTAGCTGGTTTTTACTCTTTTTGGAGCCCGCCACCCAGCTCCCAAATAAATCACTCGTAGGCTTTTCCTTAATTACGAATGTCCTGCCTTAGTGTGGCTTAGTTTCTAGCCAGCTTTTCTTAACTTATTCCATCTACCTTCTGCCTCTGGGCTTTTCCTATTCTCTTACTTCTGTAAATCTTACTCTTACTCCGTGGCTTGCTGTGGAGCTGGGCTCACACAAACTCATGCAGGCACACACACACACACACACACACACACACACACACACATAATAAATTGTTTTTTTTTAAAAAAAAAAAAAACAAAATGCCTACAAATGTAAACAAGAATACCATGAACTCTTGTCTTTTCAAGCAATAATGTTAAGGCAAATGAAGTGTGCCTGCTGTTCTTGGCTGGCAACTTGACTACATCCACAATTGACTGAAACCCAAGTGGATGGGATACCTCTGAGTGTGATTTTCTTAATTAAATCAGTTGACTTGGGAAGACCTACCCTGAATCCAGGTCTTGTGAGGTGGGAAGATCCACCTGAAATGGGCTATACCTTCTGGTGGCAACATACATAAAGGACATGGAAGAAGGAAGCTCTCGCTTGCCTCACTGATATTAGAGGCTACTTCTTTGGGATTATAAGGTATGAAGAAGATCAGATGACACAGCCAGTCTTGTGGACTGAACAACTGCAGGCTTTTTGGATTTTCTGTGGGGAGACAGCCATTCTTGGACTAGCTGCACCACAACTTGTAAGCTATTATAATAAATTCTCTTATACATATATATATATAATATTTATTTATGCAACATATATTTATATGTATAAATAAAACATGATCTATATATAAATATGATATTTAATTTGGTTCTTCTGAAGAGTCTTGACTAATACATGAAGGAAAAAAGCAACAATCCCACTGAAGGTAATGGAAAACTATGGTAGATTCCAAACATAAACTTTTCCAATTCTTTAGACTCTCAGATTACACAAATCTGCACACCAGCTTTGTCACATGAAATAGCATGATGTGGGTGTGCAGAAATGCAACACAAACACTTGCCACAAACCTTTTAGCATATTTGTTTACATTCATTGCAAAATGTCTGAAGTTCTCCAAATGAGTCATTTGAGTCACCTCCTTGTCTGTGGGAATACTCACAGTAACATGCCATGGAAAATCATTATAACTCATTCAACTGTCACAATTCACACTCCCAAATAATGTTTCTTATGTATTTGAGGATGTGGCTTCTTAATCTGTTTTTTTAGGCAAGCCAATGTGATAACGGAAAATAAAGGAAACACTATTTATTGGGTGCACACAAATATTTCATTCAGAATGACTATACATAAAATTTTCTAAATTCAAAACTATTCTCTCAGCCAAAGCAAAGCATCAAGCAAAAAACCAACAAAGACCCACTATTGACATCTTTATCCTGGTTTGTTTTCTGTTCTGAGATAAACATGACCAAAAGCACACTTTCAGCTTACACTCTCATGTCATAGGGAAGCTATGGTAGGAATCTCAAAGTGGGGACAGGTGAAAAGACCATGGAAGAAGAGGGACTCCTGCCTTCCTTCTCTACCTTGCTTTGCAACTTTTCTCATAGAGCCAGACCCATCTACCTAGGGAGTCAATGCTCACACTAGGATGGGTCCTCAGGCATCAGTTAATAATAAAAAAACTGCCCTATAAACATGCCACAGATACTCGGATAAAGACGATTCTTCGGTTGAGGCTCCCTTTTCTGAACTGCTTGGTTTGTTTCAAGTTGACCAAAACTAACCGATATGATCTTCAAGTATGCTGTGTCCATGTGTCTTGAATTCACTGGCAGCCTGTGAAGCGGTAACCTAGGCATTGTAAAACACTCTTTTCCTGCCTTGTGCCTGCCTGCCAGTCCCCATCAGCAGAACACTGTCCCCTTTGATAACTCATCACAGCTACCGAGCAAGCAGCACGCCCTTCGCTGTCCTCAGCTGTTGCTTCTGCCTGCATTTTAGTCTGTAGGTCTTTCCTAAACTGCACCCTCTCTCCCTTCTCTCCATCTTTCTGCCTCATACGTGGGACATAACAAATGATGAAAAGCTTCCTGGCAGCCCAAGAAAATGCCAGTTACAGAATACCAGCTGTACTTTTCTCATAAATATAAGCCAGAATCATTCCCCTAATGTAATATGTGTAAAATCACATTTTATACTCTATATCATTTTGCCCCTGAAAATATATTACCATTTCTTCCACCACAAATATTTACCATCTTGAAAATTTATATCCCTTAGAAAATAATTACTAAATGTTTATCAACTAATTTTAATGGCTAGTTATATTTTCTCTCCAAGGAACAACTTGAAGAAGCTTTTAAGAATAAGTGTTAAATTTCCTTCACTAATCATATGACTTTCTACAAATTACAGATGATCCTATTTGTTTTGGAAGTATTTTTTTGTTCCATGTTTTCTCTGTCCTTAATTATCCTTCACAATTTACCAGAGCATCTCTTAGTCAAAACAACTTTATTTTTTTTAGTGTTTGTATTGTGGCAAATGAAATTAGTTTACCTGTCCAACTTCCTTTCTCCTGTTAATTCTTGGTAAGATAATTTTGGTTTGGTTTTGGATCACAGCATGCTCATGCTCAGCCACCAGTCACATGGACCTAAAACAGCCATTCCATCCAGAGCCCTCCTCCTAACTGTCCTTGTAGATTTTAGCAGCTAGTTCTAGCCACTGAGATCATACAAAATGAGAACGTTATTTATTCCTTGAACTTGACATGGTATCTGAGATACAACAGCTGTGCTCAGACCACGAAGCAGCAAACACAAGCAAGAAACTCACACAAAGATTAGGGTAGAAGTTAGAAACAGCTGGATCTCCGATGGCTTTATTAGGCAGGTGAAAGTAGTATGATCAAGTATATAAGCAAAGGTTTCTTTTTTTATGAGATAAGATAAATATTTTAGAGATAATAGGGTATACATTCTTTTATAACTAAAAGCTTTATAGTAAATCTCACTTGATAAATACATTTATAAATGGTCTGTGTATATGGACTATTTATACACCTATGTAGCAATATTGTTCATTGATTAGAGATTTAAAATGAGAGAGATTAGGTAACAGACATTGAAGGATGCCTGAGCTGAAAAATATAGCCTAAAGTCTAAGATGATCTCAGTTATTTTTTTAAGTTTTTATTTTATTTCTTGCAGTGGTGTGTGTCGAATGCACACACCAGTCCCTACAAGTTAAAAATTTAAAACAAGCTAACACACAAAAATTTACAGCATTAAAGCAATGTTGCCTTTTATCAAAAGAAGAAATAGCCCTTCTTATTTGTCTTCATGATTGCCCTGGCCTTCTTTGTTATTGTTTGTAGAACTTTTGTTCTCTTGCTTGTTGGTCTTTAGGTCCAGGGTGCTACCCTGGACCTAAAGAGTGCTTCAGCTCTTGTCTGCTTGACCTAAAAAGTTCTTCAGCTCTTGTCTGCTTTAGCATCCAATGGCTCTTACTATATTTCAATACCACTACAATACTTATCTGACAGCACTCTTATTTTCTTCACATAAAAAGTGTTACAAACTTAAATACCTACAAGACTTAGTGAAAGAGAATGATGGGGTGTATCTCATGCATGTGTAGACTGTAGGCCACACTATGAACTCTGTAAAGATCCAACTTTTTAGTCTAAAGCTGTAAAGTCCATTCTCAACGGAACCTCAGGCAAGCTTTTGAACTTAACATCAAAGTGTAACTTAAGAACAATACTAAGGAAAGAACATAGTTTAAATTCTTTCTATTGCAAATGAGGGAAGTGATACAGAGATTGTGTGAAACAGAGAATGAGTGAACCATAAGTAAGCAAAACTCAAGGACTATCTAAGAAATCTCAAAATGTTAGTCATTGAAACTGTGCATCCGGAGTAAAACTCTGGTATTTCTTAGGAGTGTCCCTGTCAGAGGATGACAGCTTCATCCCTTTGATTACTTGAGCAGCCAGATGAAGGAAGAAAAGCAAGATGCTGCTTAGATAAAATGGGTGAATAGTTGGTATATTCCTTAAGAAAATGTGTCAGTCAGTTCTACTTCTATAATTAAAACCAGACATTCTTTCAAAATTTGAGATGGAAACGCACTAATA